AGAATCAGACGTCGTCTTCTGGTGGAACAGACCTTCGAATCTCTTCACCCAACACTTTCACTCACCATGAAAGTAAGCTCAACAATTATGAAACAAGAGATTCCTCTAAACCAAACTTTTCTTCGTATATGAAATACATGTACCAGTGAGATAGCAGACGGATTCGACGTGTCAAGAGAGAGACTACGTAACAATATGGCAGACTCTGGTCAACATTTTCAGCCCAAGGGTGAAGGGGGTGATAACGACAGTGTGGAGTGTGAAGGGTTTTCGTGAATGCCGCTCAAAGAGCACACCACACTACACCACGGTAAAAAATGTAAGAGTGAAGGCACACGTTTGGTCAAAGGTTCGGCTTCACTTGTCCTTTTGACGAGTTGTAATATGGTGCTACGAATGGCGAGACTCAATGACGATGCCGACTACAATGCCGTTGAAACGTCTGGGAATGTACCACGTCCACGGTCCGACTTTGGAAATGATGATGCATACAATGGTCTCCGAACAAGGTGCGCTCCTCTAAGTCTTCCTACCAATATGACCAATTTACGAAAACAAGGTCAACCAACTTCTATACAACGAAAAGAGACTGCGACCACACAAAAGGCCACACCATCTTGGTCTTTATTCCTTCAATTAAAACATATCTACTTTAAAAGTATGAACTTACATTTCTCATTGAAAATGGATTAAAGTAGTCTACGTCTAGTTGGCAGCACAAATATCGCAGACCAGAATTCCTTGAAAGAAAACAAATAGCAGATTTATTGAGTTAAATAAATAAAACATCGATTCGGTTTGGAAACTTGGCCCAATGCCAAGTGAGCTAGGTAGGAATCACAGATTAATTTCAAGCTAAAGTGATATCCGGCAATTGAATGATATAATAACTCATTTTATTTTCATGGATGTCGAAAGATGGTGCGAAAAAAAGTAAATCCGTTAGATACTGTAAATAAATTAAGCTAGAGCAGGCTGGGGCAATTAGAAATCGTCTCCGGATGAGATCAGCCCACGAGGCAATTCACTACACAAGAGAAAGAAGTGACCTAATATCGAATTAATGGATACTCCTACTTAAAAGGCGTTGAGCACAAAAGAGACCGAAGAATAACAAGTAACCTTCTGAGAATAATTAAAAAAAACCTGGAAGTAAGGGAATTTCAGAAAACCTATTCTTAAAGCAAATAATAAAAATATAAAGAAAAATAGTAAATGGCACCAGTAAAAAAACCCAAGAATAACCAATGCTGATAAGAAATAAAAAGTGTTCGTCGCCAAAAACATACCGAGGGCTTCTGCATGTGGCCTGTTTATCCTTCGATAACTTTTTAAGGTAGGTTGGAGCTTGCACAATTTTGTCAGGAGGCTCTAATATAGACACAAAATTTTGGATCAAATGAGAATAATAAGTTAAACAAAAGTTAGAAATATAGGATCTAATAATACTACGAGAGTTGATCCTCCCTATTAGGCCAAACTGCATTTGAAGAAAGGAATAACTTCTGGCTAAGGCCAATGCTGATCAGTAAGGCCTCTTATCAATTCTACCAATATATTCTCAAGCGCCTAAATTGTATCTGACAACATACTCCAAGCTATGTACATACAAAAGAAGAAACCGCGTCCTGATGACTGTTATGGGGAGCTATTACTATGCAGAATTTTAATTCTCGCGAAAGTATGCAATTAAACATTTCGATGTATGGAATATGTTCACTCTAATTCGTTTAAGGTGACAAAGGACTGGTAGTTAAATTTTCTTACAATTATACAATTATGGCCTTGTTTCCCAAAGGGTATTCACATCCAGAGTGGACTGCAGTTTGGAACTCGCCTAGCTCTTATCAACGCCCCCAGCGGGATTCTAACCATGATGATGCAGCGTAAAATCTCCACACGTTAGCCAATACGCCACATTGCCACGAGTACCGTTGGGTCACAGGACAGATGCGAATTTCAAGGAAGGCCATAAATTTACCCATATCACATTCTTTGGTAGGTTTGTATATGAAACAAAGTTATATTTGCTATAAAAAGCGACTACGTTACGCATTTTTCGTTTGTAAGGAGGGTTTCGAGACTACCGGTATCATATACACACACATATATATATATATTGTTGAATTTCGGGAAACTTCGACTATGAGTCCTTCATCTCCTTAAATGAAATAGAGTGAACACATCTCATATATATGATGTACTGGTAGTCTCGAAAGCCAATGAAAATGTAAATATAAACTATGAGAATGCAGTTAAAGTGTCAGTTGATCATTCACTGTCCATGCCAGTTTGGGAGAAAGGCATTATTTCATACCAGAAAAGCAGAAATTAGTGAAGCGCAATAGGCACATTTATTTGACTCGTCTTGATTCGAGGATTACACTTGTTAGCATCAATTCTTATCGGTTGAATTGCGTCCATACGCAATATGATATTAATCTAGTCATGGCTTGGGAACTGTGTTAAGTGATAAGTGTGACCCGCAAAGATATCGCAAATTGGCTTTTCTTCTTCTACTTTTAATCGCTTACTGTGTACAGGCGTTCTTTGGGTTTTAGTGCAACTTCCCTCCTTACCTGGACCAATAATCCCTTCTGAGGCGACTGTGATGCTCGGATGGTAAGAGCAGTGATTGGCCCACTCTATCAACTGAAAGTTTTGGCCACATTGAGAGCAGGGAGCTAAGTTGACCGTGCCCCAGAGATGCCAATAAACAAGACGCCAGCTCCCCAGTTCATGGAACCAGTTGCGGATGAGAGCCATGACATCAAGTTGTTGCGATCCATCAAAAGCTGCTATCGAACGATTTCGTCGTAATTTGTTTCACACATGTAAAAGAAAATCAGGCATTATATAACGTTTTATGTTGAATTGCATAATAAATGATAAGAAGCCACATGAATCAATTGAATTCATAAACAAATTTAGGCATATTTTCAGTTATGGTAGCATTTATATCTTCTCTAGCAATAATTCTTACTTATTTATTTTGCAAAATGCATAGTTTTATTGTCACCTTTAAGCCATCATAGGCAGCTAAAAAGTGAACGAGATTAGTTGTTAAAATACTAGTAATAGTGATGCTGAAAAATAGCATTTGAGCCTATGTTCAGACCAGAAGATTTTATAAAAGATGGAGTAGAAAGCATGAATACCACCTTAAATCAGTCGTTAGTGTCTTTGGATGCATGATGTTGATGTTAAGCACGAGTTTGGGATACACACATTCTTAACAACGTAGAACTGACTATGTATGCCTAATATTAACCAGTCGTCTGTGAATCTCATTTACGAGGTACGATCAATGGCAGACGGTGCTAGAGCTGATCGACCACTAGTAACCTTACCATCAATATACGAATGATAAGATATTCAACTTAAGCCAGATTTGTCGACGATTCCGATCTCTAATTTTTATCAAACATCAAAGTATTTTTAACTATTTGAATTAAGTTGTATTTGCCAGTTGATTGTATCTAACCTTTGTTTGCCAAAAGGATTTTTCATGCGAAAGAGAATGCAGTGTATGCTTTATCCCAACTGTGGTGAAGCAGTTCCCACCACCATTGCCTATCATTTGATTATGAGTGAGCTACAGAAAATGTGGGTTCTAGAGCAGGGTAGGTTTGTGCTAATTCTGATAGAATTTAGTGGAAAGTGCATGCTGATCTTAGCCCATATATGAGTTGAGCTAATATAGCATCGATGGTGAATTGTCTGGCTCTGAATATGCTGTCTGTCTTGTGCAATCATTTGCATAACGACTTCTTGTCCGAGGGAGAAATGTGCTTGCAACTTAATTCTTAAAGAAGTGGGTTGACCTCGTTGTCGCAACTTGGTCTTGGGGTACAGGAGACTATGTAGAACGCACATTGTCCGAAGTCGTCTGCCGTAGTAGTTGTCATGACTCCCAGCATCTGACAGTGAACTTGATACATTATCAAACATTTCGCCAGCATCGTAGTCGGCATCATCAGTCAGTTTTGCCATTCGCCGCACCAAGCTACGAACTCGTCAAAGAGACGAGTGAAGCCAATCCCTCGACAAACATTCCGCCGAAAACGGTACACTATAACTCATCTTTCTGTTCTGGCCTATCTATCTACTCTTTACCCTCTTATCCCATTGCCGCCCTATCACTTGTTTACATTCTAGTCATCAAAATGTGTGCCCATCACACTTTCTATCTACCCCGACCCCTCTCTTTCTATCGGCTTATCCGAATCGGGCCTCCAATCCGGCGACCAAACCAGAGGCCACAATATCTTGATCTTCATATCTTCAATTCTTAAATTTTGGGTTCGAATATCG